TAAACTTTTCCATGAAACAGAAAATTTCAAAGAAACACTGCCTGACTCATTTTATGAAGCCAGTATTACAACTAACCCAAAACCAGACAAAGACACATCCAAAAAGGAGAACTATAGGCCAATATCCTTAATGAACACTGATGCAAAAATCCTCAATAAAATAATGGCAAACCAAATCCAATAACATATCAGAAAGATCATTCACCATGACCACGCCAGCTTCATCCCAGGGATGCAGGGATGGTTCAACATACGTAAATCGATAAATGTAATATAGCACATTAATAGAAGAAAAGACAAAAGCCACTTGATAATCTCAATAGATGAGCCTTTGATAAGATTCAACACCATTTCATGATAGAAGTTCTGAGGAAACTAGGAATAGAAGGAATGTACCTCAACATTATAAAGACTATATGTGATAAACTGATAGCCAACATCATACTTAATGGGGAAAAACAAACCATTTCCCCTAAAGTCAGGAATGAGACAAGGGCGGCCCACTCTCCCCACTCTTATACAACATAGACCTGGAATTCCTAGCAAAAGCAATAAGGCAAGAAAAAGAAATGAAAAGAATACAAATAGGTGAAGAAATAGTCAAACTATCCCTATTCACAGATGACATAAACTTATAGCTTAAAAAAATCCTGAAAAACTCCACCCCAAAACTCCTAGACACCATACACAGCTTCAGCAAAGTAGCAGGATACAAAATCAACAAACAAAAATCTGTAGCCTTTCTATACCCAACAAAGAACAGACTGAGAAAGAATATAGGAAAACAATTCCATTTATAATAGCCACCAAAAAAAAATCAAATACCTAAGAATAAACTTAACAAAGGATGTAAATGACCTCTACAAGGAGAACTACAAACCAATGAAGAAAGAGATCAAAGAAGACTACAGAAGCTGGAAAGATCTCCCATGCTCATGGACTGACAGAATCAACACAGTAAAACTGGCTATAGTATCAAGAGCAATCTACATGTTCAGTGCAATTCCCATCAAAATCCTAATGACATTCATCACACAGACTGAAAAATCTACCTAAAGTTCATCTGGAAACATAAAAGACTGTGAATGGTCAAGGCAATACTGAGCAAAAAGAGCAACACTGGAGTTATCACAATACCCAACCTCAAGCTATACTACAGAGCCATGGCAATAAAAACAGCATGGTACTGGCACAAAAACAGATATGAAGATCAGTGGAACAGAATAGAGGACCCAGATATGAATTCACATGACTATGCTTACCTAGTCATCAACAAAAGGTGCCAAAAACATACAATGGAGAAAAGACAGCCTCTTCGACAAACATTGCTGGGAAAAGTGGTTATCTGCCTGCACAAAACTGAATCTAGATCCATGCCTGTCACCCTGTACTAACATCAACTCAAAGTGGATTAGGGATCTTAATATCATATCTGAAACCTTGAAGTTAGTACAGGAAAGAGCAGGGAATACACTGGAAGCAACAGGCATAGGCAAGGACTTCTTCATAGAATTCAAGTAGCTCAGCAACTAAGAGAAAGGATTGACAAATGGGACTACATGAAATTTAAAAGCTTCTGCACAAAAGATTTCTAAATTTAAATCTCTAAATTGAAGAGGCCACCCACAAAATGGGAGAAAATCTTTGCTAGCTATACATTAGACAAAGGATTGATAACCAGAATATACAGGGAGCTCAAAAAACTAAACTCCCCCCAAATCAATGACCCAATAAAGAAATGGGCAACTAAACTAAAGAGAACTTTTTCAAAGAAAGAAGTCCAAATGGCTAAAAAACACATGAAAAAATGCTTACCATCCCTGACCATAAAGGAAATGCAAATCAAAATCACACTAAGATTCCACCTCACTCCTATTAGAAGAGCTATCATTAAGAACACCAATGACAACAAATGTTGCCAAGGATGCAGGGGAAAAGGAACCATCATACACTGCTGGTAAGAATGTAAGCTAGTACAACCACTAAGGAAAATAGTATGGAGGCTCCTTAAAAAACTAAAAGTAGAACTGCCATATGATCCAGCAATACCAATCCTAGGGATATATCTGAAGGAATGTGACTCAGGTTACTACAAAGGCACTTGCACACCCATGTTTATTGCAGCACTATTCACAACAGCCAAGCTATGGAAACAGCCAAGATGCCCCGCAACTGACGAATGGATTAAGAAAATGTGGTATTTATACACAATGGAATTTTATTTAATCACAAAGAAGAATAAAATTTTGTCATTCACAGGGAAATGGATGGAATTGGAGAACATCATCTTAACCACAGTTAGTCAGGCTCAGAAGGCCAAAAATTGCATATTCTCCCTCAAGCGGATTATAGACCTAAAACAAATGCAGTAATATTATTGGACAATGGTCACACACTAAGGGGATAATGCACACGGGAGGAATAGGGAAAGGGAAGGAAACCAAAAGTGAGTGGATGTGCTCACTATCGAGGAGTGAATATAATAATCTTAAACTGGCAGAGGCTTCTACGGGAAGGGGACTAGGAAGTAGTGAAGAGGTCTGGTAGAGATGAACCAACATGTGGGTTGTAATACACATGTGCATAGAAGCAATGCTAGAAATCTCCCTGTATAGCTACCTTTATCTCAAATTAGCAAAAACGCCATGTTTTTCTAAAAATCAGAGAACAGAGGGCAGAACAAGTTCTGCCTGGAGGCAGGGGTAGGGTGTAGGAGGGAAGGGGGGGGTGGCCCAAATAATGTATATACCTCACATAACAATAAAATAAAGTAAAAAAAAAGAGGATTGTGGTTTGAAGCTAGCCCAGGCAAATAATTTGCCAGACCCCCCTCTCTAAAATAATCAGAGCAAAATGGAGTGGAGGTGGGGCTGAAGCAACAGAGCACCTATTTGTTTACACCTCCTTTGCAAGCACAAAGCCCTGAGTTCAAACCCCAGTCCCACCAAAAAAAGCCAAAAAGAATATAAACCACCTAAACAAATCCGTAACAGCCAATGAGATTAAAGCAGTAAGACTATACTAAACAGGAAAAGACTGAAATCATTTCCTCTAAAGTCAGGAACAAGACAATGGATGTCCAATCTTCCCACTCTTATTCAATATAGTACTAGAATTCCTAGCCAGAACAATAAGGCAAGAGAAAGAAATAAAAGGGACTCAAACAGGGAAGGAAGAAGTCAAATTATTCTTACTTGCAGACAGTATGATCCTCTACTTAAGATCCTAAAAGATTCCACCAAAAAACTCCTAGATCTGATAAACACTTTCTGTAATACAGCAGGATATAAAATTAACATACAAAAATAAGTATCTTTTCTATATACCAACAATGAATAGATTGAAAAGATATCATGAAAACAATTCACAATAGCCTCAAAAAAGTCCTAGAAATAAACTTGACTAAGAAAGTGAAAGACCTCTACAAATGAAAAACATAAAACCTTGAAGAAACTGAAGATACAAGATGGGAAAACCTCCCATGTTCATGGATTGGCAGAAAAGTACTGTGAAAATGGCTATACTACCAAATGGAATCTACAGATTCAATGCAATTCATATCAAAATCCAATGTCATTCTTCAAAGATACAGAAAAATCAATTCTAAAATTCATACAGAAACATAAAGGACTCAAAACAGCAAAAGTAATCTTGAGCAAAAAGAGCAACACTGGAGGTATCACAATATTAGACTTTGAATTACACTATGGAAACATAACATCAAAAACAGCACGGTACTGGCACACAGACATGAAGATCAATGAAACAGAAACAGAGCCACACAGCTATAGCCATGTACCAAAAACGTACATTTCAGAAAAGAAGCTTCTTCGACAAGAAAACTGGGTATCTATATATAGAAAACAGAAACTAGACCCCTACCTCTCACCCTGTACAAAAATCAATTCAAAATAGTTCAAAGATCTTAAAACTGGGACTGGATGGAGTACCTCAAGTGGTAGAATGCCTGCTTTAAAAGCAGAAAGACCTGAGTTCAAACTGCAAGTCCCACCAAAAAAAAGATTTTAAAATTACTATAGGAAAACACATGGGAAACACTGGAAGAGATTAGGTACAGGCAGTTATTTTCTGAATAGAATGTTGATTGCCCAGGAAATAAAAGCAAGAATTAACAAATGGGATTGCATCAAATCAAAAAGTTTCTGCGTATCAAAGGAAACAATTGCCAGTGTGAAGAGATAACTCACAGAATGGGAGAAAATCTCTGTCAGCAATTCACTCAATAAAGGATTAATATACAGACTGTACACAGACCTCAAAAAATTAAACACCAAAAGACTAATCCAATGAATAAATGGACAAATGAACAGACAGTTCTCTGAAGAAGTGCTAATGGTTAATAAACACATGAAGAAATGTTCAACACCCTTAACCATAAAGGAAATGAAAATCAAAACTATGCTCAAATTCTATCTCACCCCAGTCAGAATGACAATCAAGAAAACAAACAACTACAAATGCTGGCAGTGATGCAGCACTGTTGGTGTGAATATAAACCAGGGCAACCACTATGCAAATCAGTATGGAGGTTCATTAAAAGACTAAATATACTACCTTATGACCCTGCTACTACACTTGGGCATATATTCAAAGGAGTGTAAATCACCACATAAGAAAGATATCTGCACAGCCACGTTTATAGCAGCGCTATTCACAACAGCTCACAACAGCCAAGCCTATGTGTCCAATGACGGGTGAATGGATAAAGAATATGTGGTACACATACACAATGGAGTACTATACACTCATAAAGAATGACTGCTAATGGGTGGAGGGTTTCTTTTGGGGGAATGAAAATAATGTGAAATTAGATTATGATGATAGCTGTAAAATCTAGGTACATACTAAAAAAAAAACTAATAATATACACATTAAAAGGGTGAACTGTATGAATAGTGTCTCTAAAAGGAACAGAAGATATTTCAGCGATTTGAAAAAATAGTGTCATGATGAAAATTTCCTTAAAAATTACAACTTACCAAATATTGTATAATTTTGGGAAGAAAGGTAAAACATGGAAGATATTTCCTTACAGAAATGGAAAATGATTTCAACTGCAGTTCTTCTTCTGAAGTCTTTTCAAATACTGGAAAGAAACTTGCACAAGCTATAAAAAATGCCATCACTGTTACAACCGAAGGCATTAGGAGTTCATCCTTTAATAGAAGAGGTAGCATGCTGTAAAGGAAAACAGAGAAAACATCAAAACAGAATCATCAATTCAAACGATAATCAGTTTGCAAAAAGTTTTAAATGAGTTTATAAAACTCATACTGAAAATATTATATGAAAATTTGATTTGACTCACCTAAATGTTGACACAAGTAAAAACCAAGTAGACATAAAAGGTATTTCATTTAAAACTAAGCAGACTGGTCTAAAATGACAAAGAAAAAGTATTTTAATATTATAGACAGTAAGTTCAACTAGTACTTATGAAAAATATAAACATGCTTTATTTGTCTGGTTTTTAAGGATAGTTTAAAAGAAAAATGCCAGTTCTCCATATTGGACTAGTGACTCATTTTTTATAACAATTCAAATTAAGTCTAGACAGAAGGTATCGACACCACAAAATAATTTCCAAAATGCTGCTGCATTACACTATTCATGTGTTTCTATCATACAGACAGTACCTTAAAAAGAGGATCAGATAAAGCTGATCTGAACACTGAGAGAAACAAAGCTTTTTGAGACAGGGCTTCCCTATGTAGCCCAGGCTGGTCCTGAACTTGTGATCTTCCTGCCTCAGCTTTCCAAGTGCTGGTATTACAGTTATGCACCATCATACCCAGCTTATAAATTTCATCCTATTTGGTAAATATAGATTCCCAGGATAGTTGTTTTCAAACTTCTATTTTATGATCCTCCATGTTACATATTACTCAACTAAGTTAAAAAACTAAAATTGTTATAAAAATGAAGAAAGGACAACAGAGATGAGTTATAAATGGAAACATGTTGATAATGGCAGACTAAAAGAGGCTACATGAAAAAGGTAATAGTATAGACACAGGAATCACAAGGCCAATAAAGAGAGTTACTGGCTTATCAAATAGCTGTTTAGGGTCATAACTCCAAAAATCTGTGATCGCCTTATCACAACCTCTGATCAAATACCTTCTGGATTCAACTGTCAATGCTCAAGGAGAAGGGAACTAGTCAGAAGCTCTGAGTTCTAGTCCTGTTTCTGCCAATTACTATGTGACCTTGAACCAATGATTAATCTGTTTTCTTATGTGCACACAGGCATAATAATAATACCTTGCATTAAGTAGTTGAAAGAACGCTCAGCAAATATGTAGTATTTTTTTTAACAATAAAAAAATTTTAGTCAGGTGCTGGTGGCTTACACCTGTAATCCTAGTTACTTGGGAAACTGAGGATGGAGGTTTGAGGCTAGCCCTAGGCAAATAGTCCACAAGACCTCACCTCCAAAATAACCAGAGCAAAATGGACTGGAGGAGGGGCTCAAGAGGGAGAGCACCTTCTTTGCAAGCAGGAAGCCCTGAGTTTAAACCCCAGTGCCATCACAAAAATTTAAAGGAATTAAAATTTTTTTATCTGGCTCTTATTTTTAAAAATTTTTTCTCCTTGTTTTTAAAACTGCTTTTAAAAGTTTGAGCATTCTCCCTCTTTCATAAAAGGATGATTTTTTTCATGTCAACTAGCATATAGGACTTAAGTCATGGGATTATGAACTGATTAAAAACTATTACACTAAGAAGATAATATTAGAGGACTTCCCATTTCACTGCTTGAACATATTCTACATCATATGGATTCATTATCAAGAACACAGTAAATGCTCGATAAATAATGATTTTTCTGGGACTTAATTCTTTCCCGTTTCTTTGATATTTAGGTACTAAACCCAAAGCACAGATCAAAAATCTATTACACATAAGTACTCTGAAAAGAATACAAAGATGAATATAACTCAGCCCTTACCCTCAAGGTACTTTAAAATTCATACTCAAGCAACAAAATCCCTACATCCTCAGCCTCTTCTGTCATCTTCCCCCTTCACCTTGTTTGAAGCCATGCCTGGCTCAAATTCAGAATTAAAGCCCAAGTTCCTAATATTACCTACAAGGTCCCACATGATTTGGAACATGTAACTCAGGTGCAGGCTTTGGGGAGTGACACATCCCCCCAGTCTGTAGTGATAGGAGACTACTGGGTTCAGAGCAAGACATTGTCCACATAGGCCAGCCCAGCTGCTTTCAGTCCAAAGCTCCACCTAATAAATGCAATACTTCCTTCTATCCATCATTAGTTATTCTGTGCATGTATCTTCCAAAGAACCTCACCAACAGAGTGAGGGATATAGTAGTGACCAGCTGGGATTGACCTAGTGGAGGATTTGAGTGTTACCAAAGTGTTCTGGATAAGTACTATTTTAATATTTAGGATAATATGCCTCTTATCGTCACCCAGTCCTTTCTTTGAAGATTGGGAAAAAATTTAATGCTCTTGAAATCAAGTAATCTAGTTAAGGTTTGCCAGTGGGGATAAAAAAATCTTCATCTAAAGGCTATAAAGAACATGGCGGGGGGCACAAAGGGGGCAACATAGGAGAGACTCTGCTGAGATAAATGTAGAATAAGGCTGCCAAGAAAATGTGGAAGTGAATGTACCAAAAAAGGCAAAATGAAAAACAGGCTCCAATCTAAGGAAAGCCTCTTTAGAGGACATCTTTTTACTAGCACTGAGAAACTATTAAGAAACAAAAAGAAATGAGAAGTATATTAGTAATAGTTCTGTTAGTCGCTTTAGCTTAAAATATATTTTATAAAGAAGTAACATCTAAAGGATCATCATTCAGAAAAATATGACTAGAATAATTACATGCAAAAATATTCATGTAGTTTTATTTTACACTAAAGTAACACATATGTAAATTATAAATTCACATACATAATAAACACATAATAATAAAAACTTCAAAGATTTCTACTTACAATGATACCAAAAGAATGGACTTTTCATGTACTTGGAAAGAAAATAAAAAAAATGACAGTGCACAGATAACCTTTAAGAAAAAGAGGAAAATGAGATGTGACAATATGCAAAATAAATCAACTGAGTTATAAATCTAAATAAAAAGCATTTCAAATGAATGTTTATCACTGCTATTATCAATCTAAAAGGAAAATAGAAACACAGAACTAATATGCATAATATTTAGCATGATTTTTAAATGTACATGTTTTTTAAAAAACAATGTTTATTAAGCTATACATAACTGTCTAAAACAATTTCACCGAGACTCAGTGATTAATAAACAAAGCTTGCTAAATATGTAATATTAAACAATCACACCTTCACCTTCCCTTGGAATCTGACTAAACTAATTAAAACGTATGAAAGACAAAAAGATCAAAATCTAAAACTGGTAAAAAAAATCTATTGTAGTGTTTTTAAAATGTGTACTTCAATAAAATATATTAAATGTTTAATAAGTTCATCTGCTATTTGGGGTTTTACATAAATTACTTAGCTCTACTTTCCAAAGGTTATATTCCGCATGTTAGACATTTGTTTATGAACATTTTATCTAATCACTCAAGCAAAAAACTCGAATTACTCTTATACACCCTGAATATCTAATCCATCAGCAAATCCTATCAATGACAATTCCTAAGTACAACATCCATTCACTTCTCTCCACTAGCCTCTACTAAGGGTGGTGAGAATAGCCCAAACCACATCTGTCTTTCTCCTGAACTACCGTGGTCACCTCCCAATTGGTAAAGCTCTTGCACCTTACAGTCTATTCTCCCAACAGCCACCTGTTTACAATCTCAACTAGCTTCCCACTGCACTTACAATAAAAATCCAAACTCTCGTAAGATCTAGTTCCTGTCTTCGTCTTCCAATTCATCACTTCTAGTCTCCCTCACTTACTTCATACCAGCCACTTAATACCTGTTCCTTTATGACTCGAGAAAGCCAAATGTGTTCTTGTATTAAGGAAGTTTTTTATTTTATCAATGATAGTCAAGACCCAAGTCTTGTGATTGGCTTCTTCTGGTTGGTCACTCATTTCTTGGCTTAAATGTTACTTCTCTGGAAAGGCTTCCCTTACCCAATCTAAGGCGCACACACCTATAGTACCAGCTACTCTGGAGGCTGAGTATTACCTGAGCCAAGAGTTTAGGAATAGCCTTTACAATGTTAAGATCTAACCTAGTCTCAAAAATTAATTAATTTAATTTAATAGCATCCTCTAACCCCACCCATAAGCTTTCTTTTCATATAACACTGTTTTCTTCCTAGCACTCATTCCCAGGTATTTTCTTGTTAATGGATTTTGTTTCTTATCCATCTCCTGCCACTAGCACACAAGGTCCCAAGAGAGAGTACAGGGATGTCTGTTGTTCATTTATATGTCAATACCCAGAAGAGGACCTGACACAGTAGAGGACACTCAAAAAATACTGCCTGAATAAATTAAATATAAATCATTCTGCTGCTACAGATATATTATTATTCATCCTATCAATTACCTTAATTATAGATTTATACTGAAATATAATTCAACTAAACTTGACTGAACAGAAAATACATTCAAAATAATTATAATTGGATATGTTGTTAAAGCTCTCAGAAGTATACAGCTAGAATTCAAACCAATATCAATTTAAAAAATCACTGTTTAAACACAATCGCTTGTACGAAAATATAGCAAATAGAGTAAAATTAAGAAATTGAGAAAAATGGTTTCTTTCTGGCTTATGGCCCTAAAAGTAATCATCTCTAACACTGTTATAGGTACTCAAACTCTAAAGTTCTATTCCATTATCTTTGAAATATACATTTATTTACCATGCTATTTCCTGAAAAAAAAAAAAAGATAGTTAGAAATTTGACTATATTTCAAGTTAGGCCTATTAAATATACATCAGCATTACTAACCTGTATCAGTCTTATTCTAAACAACCTCCAGGATATTAGTAGTAGATAACTTAATATAAGTTCACTCACAGAATAAAACAACAAAAACCATCAATAAAATGATAATAAAAAAGAATCTGGGGGCTGGAGGCATGGCTCAAGGGTAAAGTGCCTGCCTAGCAAGTGCAAAGCCCTGAGTTCAAATCCCAGTACTTCAAAAAAAAAAGAAAAGAAAAAGAAGAAGCTGGGTATAGTGGTGTATATCTGCCATCCCAGCACTTGAGAGGCTAAGGCAGGAGGTAGGGAGTTTGAAGCCAGCTTGGACTACATAGCAAAGATCCTGTCTCGGAGTGGGGGCAGGGAGGCATAACAAAGGAAACAGGAATATAGAAGATATCCTTTTTGCATTGTGGTACTGAAATGCACTTTTGGAATTTTTCACTGTTATATTCTGCAATGACTTGTTTTTAGAATACAGTGTATCTATGCAGCAGTCCCAGAATTGAAGCTCTAATTTATAAAATGATGTCCTCTTATAAATAAATACTAGGATTTGCTGTTTTCATAAACTGAATGTTCTTGATACTTTAAAGGGTATTTTTAAACGTCATTTCAAAGACTAATGTATACAAGAATAACATTTTAAATACTATAGAAATACAACCAGGAGGAATTGATAAGCCCACTCATAAAAACCCTAAACTACAGGCAATATACCCAATCCATCTACAAACTGCCACATCATTTTCCTAAAACAAAGATCTATCCCTTCCCCATAACTTTCTTCACATCTCTTGTACTCAGATCAAATTCCTAATCTTTCAACCAAACATTCAGTCTTCTGGAATATGGTTCGTTGTTTTTGACCTTTACATTTCAGGGTCTCTCCTATCCTATACACACACACACACACACACACACACACACACCACACACACAAGTCACACAAATTTTACTGTGTAATAGTTTACATTTCAGGGTCTCTTCTATCCTACACACACACACACACACACACACACACACACACACACAAAAGTCACACAAATTTTACTGTGTAATAGTTGTTCCTAGACATTTCCTTGTCCTCTCAAGCTCCTCTTCTTTGTGTTGAATTTCTCTTCTGCTAGAACCTCCTGTTCCAAATCTTGCTCAGCTTTCAAGATTTGGCTCAAATCTGACTTGCAGCTGTCTAAAATCTTCCTCCAAGAACATCATTCTGAGTGAGGTTAGCCTGGCCCAAAAGACCAAAAATCATATGTTCTCCCTCATATGCGGACATTAGATCAAGGGCAAACACAACAAGGGGATTGGACTATGAGCACATGATAAAAGCGAGAGCACACAAGGGAGGGGTGAGGATAGGTAAGACACCTAAAAACTTAGCTAGCATTTGTTGCCCTTAACGCAGAGAAACTAAAGCAGATACCTTAAAAGCAACTGAGGCCAAAAGGAAAAGGGGACCAGGAACTAGAGAAAAGGTTAGATCAAAAAGAATTAACCTAGAAGGTAACACACATGCACAGGAAATTAATGTGAGTCAACTCCCTGTTTGGCTATCCTTATCTCAACCAGCAAAAACCCTTGTTCCTTCCTATTATTGCTTATACTCTCTCTTCTACAAAATTAGAGATAAGGGCAAAATAGTTTCTGCTGGGTATTGAGGGGGTAGGCGGGAGAGGGAGGGGGTGGAGTGGGTGGTAAGGGAGGGGGTGGGGGCAGGAGGGAGAAATGACCCAAGCCTTGTATGTACATATGAATAATAAAACAATAAAAATAAATAAATAAATAAAAAAGAAGAAAAAATAAATAAATAAAATCTTCCTCCAATACCTCTTTTCCCACACTATCAAAGTATCTGGGAGAACTCAATACCATCTGCTTCATAGCATAATTATTTAAGCACAGTTCTCGCCACGGCATTCTACTTTGTACTACCTCATTAGCCAATACAAAACACAAACAGTTGCTGAAGTAATTTCAAAGTTTCTGATTGCTCAGTCTCATGCACACACAGCATCTAAGTATAGGAAACACTCAAACAAATGCTTGCCAAATAAATGAATGTCTTATTTCCCAACCTAGTAAACCTTGTTCAAAGTAAGGTAATTATTATCAATCAATACTTTTAAAAGATCAGTTATAGCAAGAATTAAGTATCTAAAATAATTATAAACTTACCAGAGTAAATTTGAATCCTTTGGGAGAGGGCTGAAGTGTTAATTTTATACATGCAGGAAGCAAGCTCAAAAATGTAAAACAAAAGCTAAAAAATTAATAAAAATAAAATGTTTTTTCTTTGCAGAGGTACAAATCTACCTAAGATATTTTCTAAAATATAAGGATCACATTATTTATCAACTTAAGTTGATTTCAAATTAAAACTTATTTTTATTTGTTAAGCTTAAATTCAAAACCAAATAACCTTTAAACAAAATCCACACATTAAAATACATGTACACTTTTATATATGATTATATGATACAACACAAAATAAAACATGATAATACTAAATACTGCTTGGTATTTGATATCAGGTACAGAAAGATACAAGATATATAGTTGGAGGTCATTTAACAACACTCAAAATAAGAACACATAACCAGGCATAAAAAGACACTAAAATATTTTTTAACTCATTCATAAACTTTACTCCAAAAAGAATCCTTCTGGCCCTTATTTCACAAAAACTGACTATCTGATTTTTAAGCCCATGGTAAATCAGAAAGAACAAGTTATGAGGGGAACAAGAACTGCTAGAGCTTCTCTTAGTGATGGCTGATGAGTGGGAAGGAAAAAGCACTAGACAGCACAGAGACACCCAACATACAGAGTAGTTTGGAGCCACGGAGGATCGTGGCAAATAGCCCTGAAAGCTCTGAAAATAAGTACAAAGGGCTAGACAAGTGGCTCAAGTGGTAGAGCATCTGCCTAACAAGTGCAAAAGCCCTGAGTTCAAACCCTTCCATTCAAACCCCGGTACCTCACCGCCCCCTACACACACACACAAAAGTATATAACCTAACATGGTAATTCTCTTCCTATTTGGGTGGGATATGAGCAGTATTCTCACTGGAGCTGGAGGACAAGAGTGAAGTAGCACTTATCTCGCAGTTATTCAAACACTAGGTGCTGCTGTGAAGACATGTCACAAATGTAATGCTCCATTTTAGTTGACTTTTTAGTCAATCAAGGACGGTGGGGGGATTGTTCTGGGGGCTGACTTAATCAAGTTGGAAGCCCTTTAAAAGAGAGCTTAGGCCTTTCCTAACAGCAGCTGGGGCTCAATCACACTTCCTCCCCCTAGTTGTTGCCTCCTGACTGCCTACCTTATGAACTTGTGGTTTGCTTAGCCAGCCCCAACAACTACATAAGACCGTTCCTTGTAATAAGTTCACAAACACAACAGTCTACAACTTGTTCTACTTCTCTGGTTTACCTTGGCTGATACATGTCTATAAAATTATGACTCTCCAAGATAATACTAAATCATGCTCAGTGTACTTTCTACTTAAGAGAAAATTAGATTTAAAAAAATATATATATAGAAAAACTTTCACGTAAGAGTTTTATCAGGTTGGGAGTATAACTCAGTAGTAGAGTGTCTGCCTAGTCTGTGTGAGGTCATGAGTTCCATACCCAGTACCACCAAAAAAAAAAAAAAAAAAAAAAGAAAATTGTTCAGAAGTATAGGTTTAAGTGAAAAATTCACTAATGAGCAACATCCTATTCCCTAATGATACCAGATAAATGACAAGTTACTTAATAATTGTGGAGAGTAGCTTATAAAATTATATATAAACTGTGTCTATTACCTGACTATTAACTGGATGTGACGTGGCAAAATGTCCTTAATCTTGAGGACAACACTGAAGCTGCACCAAATATTGGCTACTTTACCTTAAAAGAGATTTGTTAGTTTTACATTTTGGTATAACTCAAAGAAGTATTAAACCCCATGGAGTACAACCCATAAATCTCTAAGGAAATAAAATTTTAGACATATGAAACTTTCATTCACATTTGTAACAAAGTAGGTTAAACTCTTCAATCAATAAACATATACCCACACTCAAGCATTGTTCATCTTTTTTTTTTTAATGGGAGCTGATTTAAACCATTAATCAAACATTAATCTAGACATTCTCAAGAAAAACTTAATATTTTTCAAAGAGGGGTACACTATCCTCAAATACTGAAGTTATTCCTTTGGAAATTTTTATAAGAAATCTTCTCCCCCTAAGTTATAAAACAAGTATTACTTTTGGTCCATTTTATTATACACCTGAATTTATTTAGAGTAATCTACTAGGTACTAGCAATGACAAGAGCTAACTGCTAATAAATCCACAAGTTTAAAAACACTACCAGTTGTGCGAGGATCACTTTTAAAATTAATTTGTAACCACAGCTCTCCTGCTCGTAAACCCCATCCTCTACACAGCTGCTTGACTCACAGCTGTGTAGGCATGACACCAGGAAAGTAACTATCACTGACAGCTGTACCACCTCACTTTCCTCTGCCAGATCAAAGAGAAGCTCTTCAGCTTTTGAGACCAACAAGTGAATCAAAGAGACTGGCAATAGTATCAAACATGCCTGATACCCATTTTTATAATTATCATGATAAATACCATTTCTGAAAAGGAAGGTATGGCAAATAACCAGGCAGCTTTCATGGAGAATTAAACTTTTCTTTATATAGGTTTTAGAGAAGAGGTTAGGAGTACAGTTTCACAAGTTCAAATCACAATTCTGCTACATACAAGTTATATAAATCTCTGACCTCAATTGTCTAATCTGTAAAGCAAGAATAACAACTAACTTCAAGCTGCTGTAAAGATCAAATAAAATTGCCTGGGAGGGCCTGGCTCCTAGTAGGAATAATGACAACAATACTATTATCATATACATATGATAATATATATCACATATCATATAATATATATTATATAATACTATCATCAATAGCAGCATGCTATCCCCATCAACACAATCACACAAACTCCTCCCTTAATCTCCCAAACACTGGATTCATCCACCTATAAATTCATTGAAAGACATTGCATTGACATTTATATTCAAAAATTAGAAAGATATTCATGCTTTTCTAATTTTTTTAAGGTGGTAGAGTGCCTGCCTACCAAGAGTGAAGCCTTCCTGAGTTCAAGCCCTAGTACTGCCAAAAAGAAATGTTTTTCAAAAGTAAATTATCTATAAATATGTTGTCTCTGTCTAACTTTATTAAAAGGTCTTTTTGTTTCACAAAAAAAAGGTTTGCTCAATTTAATTACCAAATCTAAATTATTCATGTAATAAAAGTTTAACAGGTGTGATTAAAGTAGTGTTATATGAAATCAAAGGTTCTCATTAAAAATTACTAGGGATGAAGGTTATACATCTCATAAAGAATTATGAGATCCTTCGTTTAAACAAATAATTTCCTCAAACTGAAGGGAATATAAGCCAAAAACTAACAGAGCTATTAACTTTGCAGCTACAAGTTCTCATGTTATCTTTCATGGTGGACCCTATTTCACTAGAAAAATGTAGAACTGAATTATGAATCTGATATTTCCTATTCACATAATGTATTAGGAAATGCCAGCTGAGCTAGAAGTTCCATACTGAATTAAGCAACTGTCAAGGAATGATTGCAGGAGAAAAGCAGCTGAAGTTCCTATGCCTTATGCGTCTTCTACATGAACTCCCCAAAGGCTACAGGGAAGTATAATAACAGAAAAGAATGACAAGAAAGCTTTTAAACATGCCTCAAATAATCCACGATCAACTGGAAACAGTCTTCTTAGAACCTGCAGGGTTTGTTCCCTTTCTGTAAAGAATGGCAGCCAGCAGAGAGTGAAGGAAGCCACAACAGTACAAGCTAGCTTAATTAACAGCCCAAACCTAGAACACAGGTGAGCAATAAGATAGGGAAAAGTTAATAGTTTTGCAAAATCTCATTGAATACAATAAATGCAAATGTACAGTAATACTAAATCTATGCTATCAATATAGATTTAAGATAGGACACTGCTTACGACAGACCACCCTAATTAACATTTAAGCTGGATGCCATTTCTATGAGAAAAAAGCGATGCAGTCAGGAGGAAAAGGATAAAATAGGGACATATTTCTAATAAGTATATAATGTAATAAGCTCTAACGTGGTGAAATTCTACAGCAATGCTCTAACAAACCAGCCCACATTGCCTCCAGTTGAGCTGGCCATGTGGCTCAAGTGGTTGAGTACAAGTACAAGGCTGAGCTCAAACCCCAGTGCCAGCACAAAAAAAAAAAAAAAACCTCCAGTCAATGTACATTGATCAAAATATTTCTCTAATTAGGAAGATTTAAAAGAATATAGAACATGACTTAATTACTTTCTTTTCATTCACCCATGGCAAACACATTTATAAAAAATCACCAAAAGGCAAAATGAAAGACTACAATTCCTCCAAGTAAATATGCCAAATAAATCCTCTGAAGAAAAAGTTTAAAATTCTAGGACTTAAAACTCACTCACCCCTTTCCTTTGAGGCCTTTTTTAAAACATTTGCCAAGTAAGAAGCAAAAAAACGGCAAGGAGTGGTAAAGTTCCATCTGTTTATAATTTACAGCTAAGCAAAATGCCAGTGACCCTAGCAGGTCCCAGTCACAAGATACTCCAAGAACACCCCACAAAGCAAAGCCAAGACTCACAGAATTATATATGTTCCTATGTCAAGGAAATTATCTCAGGTAGATCATGCATTTTTTATAGCATATTTCCTATGTGATTTAAAAATAATATATATATGTACAATGAATGGTACCTTTACAAAGAAATTAAAAATATTGTCCAAACGTCATGTCACTTCAATTGCCTATAAGTAATCCCAGCACTCAGGAGGCTGAGTTAGGAGGATCATGAGTTCAAGGCCAGCCTGGACTACATAGGGAGTTCCAGGTCAGTCTGAACTACAAAGTGAGACCCTAACTCAAAAAACAAACAAACAAAAAGAATGGACCCACACAGTGTCCAAAACAACTGTGAAGAACACCTATGCCTAAAAATCACCATAAAATTTCAGACTTACAAAGTAAATAATTGCAACAATTAAATTTATACCAATAAATACCTATACACTGCTCATCATCTCCCAAGAATGGTTTTAAGTGCTTTACAAATACTAATTCATTTAATTCTCAAAACAAGTATACAAAGTAAGGATTATTATTATCCTCATTTTACAAATGAGGAAATAAAAGTACATAATGGTTATGGTTAAAAAAATATATGTCCCCACAAAATTATAACCCAAAATCTTTGAAGTTTAATTCAAATCACAAGAGAGATACAAATCTAACAGAAGGCTAAAGTGAAAATGACTGAGAATTAGTGAAGACAGAGAACACTGGTAACTCATATCATTGTTAATGAGAATGTTTACTGTTGTATCATGCTTAAACATAATTTGACATTATCTAAATTGGATAGGCACAAATCCTATAACTCAGCAATTCCATCTATAAGAAATACATTTGTATGTGCACAGAATAAGAATGTTTCTAACAGCCAAATTATGATGATGATATTCTTCATAGCCAAAACCTGGAAACATAGATGGCTATTAGTAACAAAACTGTATCCGCCTATGCAATGAAAAACCTAAAGCAATGAAACTGCACAAACTACAGCTCTAAACATCTACATGAGTATATCTACAAACAAAATGTTAAGTCCAAAACATCAAACAAAGGAATGCCTTCTATACTGCTACATTATATGAAGTTTAACAAAGGCTTTGGGGTAGAGACTAAACAACAGTAGTATCAGCAGTCAACATGGGGCCACCTTTGGGAAAGGAGGAGGGAGAAGTTCTTGGAAAGTATACAGGGTAGTTTCTGGGTACTGACAATGCTCTATTTTTGGACAAGTTACAATACTTTGCCAATTCACTGAGCTGTACATTCATGTTTTGCATAGTTTTCTGTATGAATGTCATATTTCAAACTAAGTACCACTTTAAAAATAACTTGTTTTCCCTTTTTTTTTTGACACAAAGTATCACTATGTAGCCCACATTGGTCTCAAACTCAATCTTCCTGCCTCCCGAATGCTGAGATTACAGGTATGAACCTCCATGCCTGACTTTTTGTTTTCTTTATACCATTGCTCTTGATATTATCAGAAAATTTAATAGATATGATCCCACAAATAATGTCCCCTCCCAAAACCACTAAATTAGGAAAATGGACTGAATAAAAAAATACATGATATGAAGACAGTGGAACAGAATAGAGGACCCGGATATGAAGCCACACAACTATAACCAACTTGTCTTTGACAAAGGCACTAAAAATATACAATGGAGAAAATACAGCCTTTTCAACAAAACTGCTGGGAAAACTGGTTAGCAGTCTGCAAAAAACTGAAACTAGTTCCATGTATATCACCCTATACCAATATTAACTCAAAATGGATCAAGGATCTTAATTATCAGACCACAAACTCTAATGTTGGTACAGGAAAGAGTAGGAAATACTCTGGAATTAGTAGGTATAGGCAAGAACTTTCTCAATGGAATCCCAGCAGCTCAGAAACTAAGAGATAGCATAGATAAATGGGACTTTCATAAAACTAAAAAGCTTCTGCTCAACAAAAGAAATGGTCTCTAAACTGAAGAGAGCACCCAGAATGGGAGAAAATATTTGCCAGCTACACATCAGACAAAGGACTGATAACCAGAATATATAGGGAACTCAAAAAACTAAATTGTCCCAAAATTAATGAACCAATAAAGAAATGGGGAAGTGAACTAAACAGAACTTTCTCAAAAGAAGAAATTCAAATGGCCAAAAAACACATGAAAAAATGCTCACCATCCCTAGCAATAAAGGAAATGCAAATTAAAACCACACTAAGATTCCACCTCACCCCTGTTAGAATAGCCATCATTAGCAACACCAGTAACAACAGGTGTTGGCGAGGATGCGGGGGTGGGGGGGGCCGCGGGGGGGGGGGCAGGGGGGGTACACTGTTGGTGGGAATGTAAACTAGTACAACCACTCTGGAAAAAAATTTGGAGGCTACTTAAAAAGCTAAACATTATCTACCATTTGATCCAGCAATACCACTCTTGGGGATATACCCAAAAGACACAGGTTACTCCAGAGGCACCTGCACACCCATGTTTATTGTGGAAACAGCCAAGATGCCCCACCACTGACAAATGGATTAAGAAAATGTGGTATCTATACACAATGGAATTTTATGCAGCCATGTAGAAGAACGAAATATTATCATTTGCCGGTAAATGGATGGAATTGGAGAACATCGTTCTAAGTGAGGTTAGCCTGGCCCAAAAGACCAAAAATCGTTTGTTCACCCTCATATACAGACATCAGATCAAGGGCAAACACAACAAGGGGATTGGACTTTCAGCACATGATAAAAGTGAGAGCACACAAGGGAGGGGTGAGGATAGGTAAGACACCTAAAAAATTAGCTAGCATTTGTTGCTCTTAACGCAGAGAAACTAAAGCAGATACCTTAAAAGCAACTGAGACCAATAGGAAAAGGGGACCAGGAACTAGAGAAAAGGGAGATCAAAAAGAATTAACCTAGAAGGTAACACACACGCACAGGAAATTAATGTGAGTCAACTCCCTGTTTGGCTATCCTTATCTCAAGCAGCAAAAACCCTTGTTCCTTCCTATTATTGCTTATACTCTCTCTACAACAAAATTAGAGATAAGGGCAAAATAGTTTCTGCCTGGTAGTGAGGGGTTGGGGGGCATAAGGGAGGGACCCAAACATTGTATACATATATGAATATAATAAAAAAAGAAAAAAAATAAAAACAATTACAGATTTGAATACCTTTGACAGATCTACATATAAATTTTATTGCAACCACAATAGGTTGACATCAAAAGCTATTAATTAAGCAATCATGTTGCTCCAAAGCTTCACCTCTGAACATTGCACTGAGAACCAAGCCTTCAACCCGTGAGTTTTAGGGGGACATTTTTTTAGGGGACATTTCATGTCCAGATCATAACATTAATCTTCTGTATCACTGCAAATATAGTTCATCCAAGCAAGTACCCTAGTGAATAAGATATTACTAGATTACATTGTATGCACTGAGCCTACATTTCATAATATGTGACTGGTGTCATTTCTAAACTAGTAAAGGATACTGAAAATGTCCGTAGTCAATAAGAATAAGACCTGGGTACAGCAATATGCATAATGCATTAGCAATCTGTGAAGAAAAATATGAAGTAATAAAGTAATGTTACTCAAAGAGGATAAAAGTGTGGCTTTTATTTAGCATAGTAACAAATATTCCCAATTTCCTGATGTGCTATCCCTTCTTTTTATCACTTTAATAAAGCAACTCTTTAGATACTGAAGCTTTTATGGAGGTTACACAAGACACGTGGATAAAAAGGAAAACATGGGCTGAAGGTGTGGTGTAAGTGGCAGAGTGCCTGTCTCACAAATGCAAAGTCCTGAGTTCAACAACCCCAAGACCACAAAAAAAAATGAAAAGAAAAAGCATCACAGGTCAGACAGGGTGGCTAATGCCTATAATCCCAGCTGTTTGGGAAACAGAGATCAGGAGGATCGAGGTTCAAGGCCGGCCCAGGCAAAGAGTTAGTGAGACTCCATCTTAATCAGTAAGCTGAGTGTGGTACCATATGCCTATGATCCCAGCTACACAGAATGATTGAAGACAACAGTCTAGACTGGCCAGAACAAAAATAAGAGATCCTACTTGAAAAATAAGTAGGGTTGGCAGAGTGGCTCAAGTGGTAGAGCATCTGCCTAGCAAGATTGAGGCCGTGAGTTCAAACTCCAGTAACAAAAGAAAAAAAAGCTAAAGCAAAAAGGGCTAGGAGCATGGCTTAAGTGGGAGGCCTTAGTTAAACTCTAGTACAAACCCCTCAAAAAAAGGAAAAATCATTAAAAGGTATTTATCAAAGGAAGTACTTTTAGATATACAAACCAAAGATGTTAATGATTAGTCTATCTAATCAAAATGGTCAAAAGGGACCATAACTATGACTGTGATGAGCAGATATAGTTTTCCAAAATGCCTTTCAGTTTAGTCATTGTCATAAACCGGCTCAAAATTCAGATTTACCAGTTAAATAATAAATTCAACATGTACATAATAACTTCTAAAATCCATTACAACTTATTACTACCATAGCAGGGCATTAAAATAATTATTGTAAGATAAGATGTTTTCTAAATGAAAATTAATTGGTAGAAAATATAATGCTCCTCATTATTCTATCTATTCCCAAAAGCATGACTTCCTTAAAGTCTATCTTTAATAGGCTAACAAGGACGATGTTTCAGAGACAGAACATCTCATTGCTTTAAAACTTACCTTTTTCTTAGTTGAGATTTCTTTTAAACAGCAACAGTACAAAACCACTGCAGGTATGTAAATTAGCAAGTCAGCAATTAGAACTGAAAAACAAGCAAATAATTTCAAGCATGAGCTCATGAAGATTTCCAACAACCCATTAGCCAGCTCTCTCCAATCTTGATTGAGAACACTATTAACTCAAGGCTCCACACACTGCAGGAAGTCCCTGACACAATGGCCCTTTTCATTCCCTTCATCTGTGCCTTATTGCAAGTGCTGTTACAAAAAAGTCTCTTCTTTCACGTCTCTAACAAATTCACATATTTAATCAATTAGATACATTCAGTGTTCTTTCTTTGATCTAACCTGAGCTTAGAAGTGAAGAATACCAAAGAGAAATTCAAGATGGCAACTGGGACACAGCCACAGACCTCATGAGCTCTGTGAACCAGGGACTTTGCTGAGATGCTGGAGACATGCTTGGCTGAGGTAAAGCACAAGGGAGAGCTGAAACATCAGCACTCTGAAACGCTAGCTCGTAGAAGGCTTCTCCATGCCATGATATACTAAAAGAATAGCCGGCGCTGCACACCAAGCCCTGCCCCATAAGCCCACTGAACCGCAGCTCTGCAGGCCATGGGATCTCCAATCTTGGGCCCGCACTTCAGTCTGCCAGGGCCGCACTCCCCCAAACTCCCACCCCTCAGACCCACACGATCTCCGGCAGACCGACCCCCTGAGGCCTGCCAAGCTGGAGATCCACAGACATTCACAATCTCCACTGGACCGCGCTGCTCAGGCCTGGACAGGCCTGCACAGGCCTGCGCCCCTAAGACCTGCCAAACCGGTGATCCACACATGCATGATCTCCATTCCGTTGGGACACACCCTCAGGCCTGCACATCTCCACTGGGCCGTGCCTCTCAGGCCTACCAAGCCAGCAATCCACAGGCATTCACAATCTCCACCAGCTACCAGGATGCGCCCCTCATGCCTACACAGGCCTGCACCATATCCACTGGGACTGTGCCCCTAAAGCCTGCCAAGATGGCAATCCACAGACATGCATGATCTCCACTCTGCCAGGCTGTGCCCTGCAGGGACACCAGGCCCAAGCTCCAAAGGCCCACTAGTTCGCCTCAACAAAAGGCCTCCGCAGGTAGGCCTGTGGGACCCCACCCACCTGCCACCCGCTACAGGAGGGCTCCAAACCTGCCTAGGAGAAACACACAGACAGGTCTCAATGCTAAAGGAGTAACATCAGAACAACTAAGACTTCAACTCTACTGTTCCAAAATGAGTAATTTTTTTTTTTTGCCCTTCTTTAAGGGTTTTGCTGCCTGGTTTGCTGTATGATCACCCACCATCTCTCCCATTTTTTTCCCCTCTTCTCTCTTCCTTTTATCTTTCCATCTTTCTCTTTTTTATCATTGTCTCTTGGTTTTGTTAGTATTGATACTGTAACCCAGCTAATACTAAATTATACATAGTCCAGGGACAGAAATGGTACCTAGTGGAAATATGGGAAGATGAAAAAGGGATGGAAACCAGTCTCCCCCCAAAAATAAACTAGTACAGGATTTAGAGCAAAATGAAGAAGACAGATACCAACATCCAGACTCCAACAAAACAAAGATAAACTATACCAAGGAACCCAACGAAGCCCACAAGAACACCCTGAAAGAAGAAATCCTACAAGTAATTAATGAGAATTTCATAGAGATGTTACTAGACATGGTCAACCAAAACGTACAGAAGGCACTCAAGAAATTCCAAGACAACAAAAATAAAGAATGTGAGAAAACACAGTAACAAATACATGAAATCATAGGAGCCCTAAATAAATACCAAACTGAAACAGAGATCACCATAAGCACAGAGATAAATGAATTAAGGGCAAAAATTGACAATATTAAAGAGGAAGTAACCCACGATATGGAAAACCTCAGAAAAAAGAACAAAACAGAAATACAAAACAAAATGGAAGGCCATTCCCTCAGGCTAGAATAAACAGAAGACAGAATCTCAGAACTTGAAGATGAAACGGTAATTAAAGGAAAAACTGAAGCGCTATTAGTCAGACAACTCAAGACCTGTGAAAAGAAAATGCAAGAACTCACTGACTCCATCAAAAAACCAAACCTGAGAATCATGGGCACTGAAGACGGAGAACAGGTGCAAGCAAAAGGAATGCGTAATATATTCAACAAAATAATAACAGACAATTCCCAAATCTAGAGAAAACTACGCCCATTCAGGTATAGGAAGCCTCTAGAACACCAAACAGACCTGACAAAAATGGAACTACCCCACGACATATTATCGTTAAAACAAGTACGGAGACTAGAGAAAGAATATTGAAGGCTGTAAGAGAGTAAAAACAAGTAACATACAAAGGTAAACCCATCAAAATCACAGCAGACTTCTCAACAGAAACATTAAAAGCAAGAAGAGCTTGGAGTGAGAGCTTCCCAGCAGTGAATGAAAATAACTTCAATCCCAGGATACTCTACCCAGCAAAACTATCATTCAAAATAGATGGAACAATAAAAGTCTTCCATGATAAGCAGAAACTAAAACAATATATGACCACCAAGCCACCACTACAAAAGATTCTCCAAGGAATTCTGCACACAGATAATGAAAGCAAACAAAACCATGAAAGGGCAGGCAATATCAAACCACAGAAGAAAAGGCAAGAAGGCAAAGAGTAACACTGATTCAGCTACACACAATCAAACCCTTCTCAAAAAAGACAACTACATGACAGGGATCACCTCATATTTATCAATACTAACACTGAATGTTAGTGGATTAAATTACCCCATCAAAAGACACCGATTGGCAAACTGGATTAAAAAGGAAGATCCAGCAATCTGCTGCCTACAGGAGACCCACCTCATTGACAGAAAAAATCACTGGCTGAGAGTGAAAGGCTGGAAGAAGATTTACCAAGCCAATGGTCCCCGAAAACAGGCAGGGGAGCAATACTTATCTCTGACAAAGTAGACTTCAAACCTACATTGATCAAACAAAATAAAGAAGGACATTCCATACTAATACAAGGGGAAATACACCAAAAGGAAATAACAATTCTCAACCTATATGCACCCAACATCAATGCACCCAATTTTATCAATCATACTGAAGGACCAAAAACATATACAAATTCCAACACAGTGATAGTGGGAGACCTAAATACCCCCCTATCACCAACAGATAGCTCATCCAAACAAAAAAATCAATAAAGAAATCCTAGAACTAAATCACACAATAGATCAAATGGACCTAGCTGATATCTACAGAATATTTCATCCAACTTCTGCACAATACACATACTTCTCAGCAGCTCATGGAAACTTCTCAAAATTGATCATATCTTAGGCACAAAGCAAGCCTCAGCAAACATAAGAAAATAGAAATAATCCTATGCATTCTATCTGACCACAATGCATTAAAACTAGAACTCAACAACAAAAGCAGCAGTAAAAAACATGCAAACAATTGGAAGCTGAACAACACATTTGCTCAATGACAAATTGGTCACTGATAAAATAAAAGAGGAAATTAAAAGGTTCCTGGAAGTTAATGAAAATGAAAACACGACCTACCAGAACCTATGGGTCACAGCAAAGGCAGTCCTAAGAGGAAAGTTTATAGCCATGAGTGCATATATTAAAAGGACAGAAAGATCTCAAATCAATGACCTAATACTACAGCTCAAAATCCTAGAAAAACAAGGAGAAGCAAATCCCAAAACAAGCAGAAGGAAAGAAATCATTAAAATAAGGGCTGAAATCAATGAAATAGAAACAAACAAACAAAATACAAAGAATCAATGAAACAAAATGCTGGTTCTTTGAAAAAATAAATAAGATTGACAGATCCCTAGCAAACCTGACTAAAATGAGGAGAGAAAAAACCCAAATCAGTAAAATCAGAAATGCAAAAGGGGAAATAGCAACAAACACCATGGAAATCCAGGAAATCATCAGACACTACTTTGAGAGCCTATACTCTAATAAATTTGAAAATCTTGAAGAAATGGACAGATTTCTAGAAACTTACAATCACCCAAAACTGAACCAAGAAGACATTAATCACCTGAATAGATCTATAACACAAAAAGAAATTGAAGCAACAATCAAGAGCCCTCCCAAAAAAGAAAAGTCCAGGACATGATGGATTCACTGCTGAATTCTATCAGACGTTTACAGAAGAACTAATACCAACTCTCCTTAAACTATTCCATGAAATAGAAAAGGAAGGAACACTGCCTAACTCATTTTATGAAGCCAATATTACTCTCATCCCAAAACCAGACAAAGACACCTCCAAAAAGGAGAACTACAGGCCAATTTCCTTAATGAATATCAATGCAAAAATCCTTAATAAAATAATGGCAAACTGAATCCAACAACACATCAGAAAGATCATACACCATGACCAAGTCGGCTTCATCCCAGGGATGCAGGGGTGGTTCAACATACGAAATCTATAAATGTAATACAGCACATTAATAGAAGCAAAGACAAAAACCACTTGATCATCTCAATAGATGCAGAAAAAGCCTTCGACAAGATCCAACACCACTTCATGATAAAAGCTCTAAGAAAACTAGGAATAGAAGGAATGTACCTCAACATTTGTAAAGGCTATATATGACAAACCTACAGCCAACATCATACTTAATGGTGAAAAACTGAAACCATTCCCCTAAAATCAGGAAAGACAAGGGTGCCCACTATCCCACTCCTATTCAACATAGTACTGGAATTTCTAGCCAGAGCAATTAGGCAAGAAGAAGAAATAAAAGAAATACAAATAGGTAAAGAAACTGTCAAAATATCCCTATTTGCAGATAGTATGATCCTATACCTTAAAGACCCAAAAAACTCTACCCAAAAACTCTTAGACACCATAAACAGCTAGAGTAAGGTGGCAGGATACAAAATCAACCTACAAAAATCATTAGCTTTTCTATACACCAACAACAAAGAAACTGAGAAGAAATATATGGAAACAACTCCATTCACAATAGCCTCAAAAAAATCAAATACCTAGGAGTAAATTTAACAAAGGATGTGAATGACCTCTACAAGGAGAATTACAACCTCCTAAAGAAAGAGATCGAGGAAGACTACAGAAGATGGCAAGATCTCCTGTGCTCATGGATCGATAGAATCAACATAGTAAAAATGGCTATACTACCAAAAGCAATCTACATGTTCAACGCAATTCCCATCAAAATCCCAATGACTTTTATCACAGAGATTGAAAAATCTACCCTAAAGTTCATTTGGAAACACAAGAGACTGTGAAGTCATGGCAATATTCAGCAAAATGAGCAATGCTGGAGGTACCACAATACCTGACTTTGAACTATATTACAAAGCAATAGCAATAAGAACAGCATGGTACTGGCAAAAAAACACATGAAGACCAGTGGAACAGAATAGAGGACCCGGATATGAAGCTACACAACTATACCCACCTCATTTTTGACAAAGTTGCCAAAAATATATGATGGAGAAAGACAGCCTCTTCAACAAACGTTGCTGGGAAAAATGGTTACCCGTCTGCAAGAAAATGAAACTAGAACCATGTCTATCCCCTGTACTAGTATCAACTCAAAATAGATCAAGGACCTAAATATCAGACCTTAAACTCTGAAATTACTACAGGAAGGAGCAGGAAAAACTCTGGAACTAATAGGTATAGGTAAAGACTTCCTCAATACAACCCCAGCAGCCCAGCAACTAAGAGAAAGGATGAATAAATGGGACTTCATAAAATTGAAAAGCTTCTGCACAACAAAAGAAATGGTCTCTAAACTGAAGAAACCACCCACAGAGTGGAAGAAAATATTTGCCAGCTATACATCTGACAAGGGACTGATAACCAGAATACACAGGGAACTTAAGAAACTAAACTCTCCTAAAATCAATGAACCAATTAAGAAATGGGCAACTGAACTAAACAGAACTTTCTCAAAAGAAGAAATTCAAATGGCCAAAAAACATATGAAAAAATACTCACCATCTCTAGCCATAAAGGAAATGCAAATCAAAACCTCACTAATATTCCACCTCACCCCTGTTAGAATAGCCATCATCAAAAACACCAACAACAACATGTGTTGGCGAGATTGAGGGGAAAAAGGAACCGTAGTCCACTGCTGGTGGGAATGCAAGCTGGTACAACCACTCTGGAAAAAAATTTGGAGGTTTCTTAATAATCTAAACATAGACCTGCTATATGATCCAGCAATACCACTCTTGGGGATATACCCAAAGGAATGTGACACAGGTTACTCCAGAGGCACCTGCACAACCATGTTTATTGCAGCACTATTCACAATAGCCAAGTTATGGAAACAGCCAAGATGCCCCACTACTGGTGAATGGATCAAGAAAATGTGGTACTTGTACACAATGGAATTTTACTCATCCATGAAGAATGAAATCTTATCATTTGTGGTAAATGGATGGAAATGGAGAACATCATTCTCAGCAACATCAGCCAGGCTCAGAAGACCTAAAATCGTATGTTCTCCCTCATATGCAGACTTTAGATCTAGGGCAAATGCAGCAATGTGGTTGGACTTGGATCACATGACAAGGGGAGAGCACATATGGGAGATATGGTAATAGGTAAAAAACCCAAAACATGAAAGCGTTTGATGTCCCCACTCCAGAGGAGCTAATACAGAAACCTTAAAGCGATAGAGGTTATCAGAGAAGGGGATCAGGAACCAGTGTAAAGATCAGTTAGAGATGAGTCAACATGGGTCGTAACATGGGTACACGAAAGCAATGTTAAGAATCTCTCTGTATAGCTGTCCTTAACTAGCAAAAATGCTTTGTCTTCCTTATTATGCTTATGTCTTTTCTTCAACAAAATGAGTGATAAGGACAGAACAGGACGGGCCTGGAACTGAGTGGGGGCGTGGGAGAGGGGCAGGGTGGAGAAATGACCCAAACAATGTACGCACACTTGAGTAAATGAACAAAAAGTGAAATAAAGTAAAATGGAGTGAGGAATACTCAAAGCAAGGGGAGACATCTCTTTCCTCAGTATCTGTATACTCCAAATTTTCGGATGTGAAGAAAAACTCAAATGTGGTGATGTATAAGAGAATCTTTTTTAAATGTTAGCATCTATAAAATACAGGCCTAAGGGTATAGCTCAAGTGTAGAGTACTTGTCTAGCAAGCTGAGGCCCTAGGTTCAATCCTTAGTACCACAAAAAAAAAAAGAAAGTAAACTTTTGTTAATTAATGCATATAAAGAACTTGGGAGAGCTGGGCATGTTGTTGCATAGCTGTAATTCCAACATTTGGAAGCTGAAATAGAAGAATCAAAAGTCCAAGGCTATTTAGCAAGACCCTGCCTAAAAGAAGGAAGAAAGAAGAGAATTTGAGGGACCCAGGTGAGGAAGAAGCTGACAAAAGTGATTGTGAATGTGTAGTCCTTTCATAACAAACAAAAATAAGTACATTACATTCTCAATAAGACGACCTAATGTCTAAGACCCTATTTTTCCTGGTACTTCACTAGATATGATGTCCAAAAAAAAGTAAATGATGGCAAACTGACAGTGTTAAATGTATGCAATCTATGTTTAGCTACAGGTACTACATTCAAGATGACATTGGAGATGTGGGTGGAGCAAAGTGGAAAGCACCTGCCTCTCATGCACAAGGACCTGAGATCAGTCCCGAGCACCACACTCACACACACACACACACACACACACACACACACACACACACACACACACACAAAGCCTAGCATGGTGTCTGCTGTATACCTGTAATCTCAGTACTTGGGAGCCTGGGGCAGGAGGATCTCAAGTTTGAGGCCACCCTGGGCTAAACAGAGAGATCCTATCTCAAGGCCAAAAAACAAAAGGAAACAAACAAGACTGACAAATTAGAATGTACCCAAACAAAGTGATCATCTAAGGAATAACTAAAATAGAAATGATCAACCTGGAGAAGAAGTGACTTCAAATGTCTGCAGGCTGTTGATATAGAAGGGATCAAACCTGCTATCTGTAACCTAAGAATGACTAGTGGAAATGCAACGTAAGAAGGAAATTTTTGTTAGGGCTCTCTGAAAACAGAATAGGGTGCCACTAAAGGTTATGAGTTCCCTGAGAATAATCATCTGGTGAGTATGCGGTTCATAAAGTATTAAAGCATTGGAAGGAGAAGGAGAGGTGTGAGAGAGGGAAAGAGACAAAACAGATTATTTTCTGGGCCTGAGAGTCTATAACTGGATTAACACAAAAGACAACAAACACTGAGTAAATTGAGACTGATTAATGAAAAGACCCAAGCTAGCACTAAAGTTTTAGTCATTGAAAGCCTTTAAAGAAATCTCAGTTACTACTTTCAAGTTCCTCAAACTGTACACATAGATGCTTAATAAACACTTATTTAGGGCTCTGAGGATGTAGCTTTGTTATAGAGTGCTTGCTCAGCATGTGAGAGTCCCTGGATTTGATCCCCAGCACCAAATAAAGAAAAAAGAAAAGAAAGGGGGTGGGGTTTGAGTGGATAAGTCAATTTAGCAACAATGCACAATACAACAAATGAAAAAAAGGTGAAAGGGACCTAGAATTACGATACTAAAGCAGCGGCCTAACCAACTAAAGCTTCCATTTACAGCAATTCTCATAGTTTCTTTGGCCTAAAATAAGAATAAGAATGGTATTTATCTTATTTGAGTAATCAAAGAATTAAATGAGATACTACATGTAAAGCACCCAGAATTAATTCCTTTCTATTCTTTTGGGTTTTAACTTACATATACTCTCAGCCTTATGTCATATATACAGACACATGAATATAGTAATTATACAATTTTAAGGTCGTTAAGAACAATAACGGTACTACTTATCAATTTTTTCAAAATTGTGATACAATCAAATTTTACGCTCTTCTCTGTTACCTGTTGCACGCATGAAGAGCTTATGTTCCTGACTCTCATGGCCGCGGGATGTGTGGAGAGCAATCCAGTCTGGGTTTATAAACTTTGCCCTGCAAATCAAAGTTTAAACACATGCTCTTTATTCCTCATCACTTTTAGCAATAAGAACATTTGAGGACATAACACTTTATTGTGAGAATTAGCCATTTCTCTTACTAGAGTCAATGCTGAAGCTTTCCTCTTTTTATTTAACCATGTGAAACTTAAGCCATTAGACTGCATGTGCCTTGCTCATCTTCCAACAAAACCATATTACATGTAACTAGAAGCTCTATCTTCACAGTTCCAAGGTAAAAATAATCTGACATATCACATTTCCTTTATTAAACACATACTTTGTAAGAATAATATATGCATTTTTATAGTTTATGATCTTTTTCAGTTATTGTAACAACTAGTTATAATGAGCAACTATTAATCATAAATCATCACATAACACTAAACACAATTATTAAAGTTACATGAAATTTTCTTTTTTTTTTTTTTGGTGGGACTGGGGTTGAACTCAGGGCTTTGCATTTACAAAGCAGGCTCTCTACCAGTTGGGCCACACCTCCAGTACATTTTGCTCTGGTTATTTTGGAGATAGAGTCTTACAGACTATTTGCCCAGACTGGCCTCAAACCATGATCCTTCTAATCTCAGCCTCCCATGAATCATGTTATAATACCTTGAATGCTGCAAAGTGTAACTAATCATCATGATGTATAGGAGCATATTTTCAATCCATGAAGTTTATTTTTACAAAATGTGGAACTTAAATATTAAAACAATAGAATAAGAAAAAAATGAGTCAGGAAACACTGTAAAGAAGTTCCTTAAATTTTCGCTGCCACATTTCAAGTCTGAGACTTTAAATTATTATACAGGTCTTCACCAAAACAGAAGTCCTCTTCTACAGATTTCTCCATTTCTCTAAGAGGAAGAATTCAAATCCAAAATCTTCAGTCATAAATGAAACATTACAGTAATTCAGTTTCTAACTTGACAGACTAGTCAGAATACCACATGGACCTGTATTTATTTGGGCCACTCCAGAAAAAAAAAGCTTCTCTATGTACAACTAAGTCATATTAGATATATTTCTCTGTAGTCCACGTACAATTGATAGCATCTCTACTTCAAAACAATACTAAGTTTTTACATTTCTTCTAGGCTGTCCTCCAAAAAAAATTATTTCTACGTTCAAGCTCTCATAGTTACTTCCTGAAAACCCATTTGTAATACATGATAAAATAGGAGGTACAAGAGATCTCTCCATTCTTCATTAGAGCCATTTCACACTATTCCTTACAGTATCTACTAAGGGCATAAATATTCAGAGTTACATTAAGGAAGAAAAACTTACACATAGGCACATAAGAAACTGTGATAAGCTGTAAGAGGTGGGTAATCCAATCCCCAATACTGTAAATTGTTATCACTGTTATTAAAATACCTGAAAAAAAAAAAAGAAAGCATCATTCCATTATAAATATCCAAAACTTATAACTTAACATGTCATTTAATTTGAGCTTAATAATTTAATTAATAGGATGTAATAATTAAGCTATGACAACAGACACAAACCAGGCCCTGTAAGAGGCAGGTGGAGTGGCTCAAGTGGTAGAGTGTCTTCCTAGCAAGCGTGAAGCCTAAAGTTTAAACCCAGTACCACAAACAATGAAAAGATTAAAAAATAATAATAATAAATCTGGGCACCAGTGACTCATGTCTGTAACCCTAGCTACTCAGGAGGCAGAGGTCATGAGGCTCTCAGTTTGAAGCCAATCCCGGGAAAATAGTTTATGAGACCCAATCTCAAAAATACTCAACACAAACCAGGGCTGGTAGAGTGGCTCAGGCAGTGACCCACCTGCCTAGCAAGCATGAGGTCCTGAGTTCAAAATGACCTCAGTACCACCAAAATAATAATAATAACAATAACGAAAGAAGAAGAAGGAAAGAAAGAGGCATGGAAGAAGATAGCTTAACAGCATTTCAAGTAAATCTTCAAAATCTACTGGTTGAAACAAATCAACTAGTTAATAAACCCTGCTTTATATACTTTAAATACACCTAAAAAGTTCTAAAATGTTGCATTTTCCACTCAGTTTCCTTATAATCTCAGTGGATGTTTTTGTTACTGTTTTATTTTTTTGTTTTACAGTACCAGGGACTAAACTCAGGGACTAGCAAGCACTCTACCACTTGAGCCTCAGTGGATATTTTGCCATTAAAAAAAACTTGGCTGCCATACTAATGAAATTATGTTCAAGAGTATTAATTAATTTCAAGGTACAGTTTTTTTTCTAACATACAACCTAGAGAGTCACGGATATTTTTGCTTTAAAAAAATAAACTTAAAACAATTTCAAAGTTATAGAAAAGTTGCAAAAATAGTTCAAAGAACTTCTCTACATCAAAAAAGTAGAAATTTTTATATGACAAAAGACATAAGAAAAATGCAAATACAAAAACAGGAAAACACTTATTTTATACATGCAACACACTCATGAAAAAACTGATTAAACTGCAGAACACTGTTGCAACAAATAGATTTTAAGGTCATCCTCATGAACCCCATCTTTAGGCCTCTGAGGGCGTATGCTCCCCCGATCCCAAGTGTGGACAAGACCTGTGACTAGATTCTAACCAAAAGAGGATGGTGAAAAAAAAGATGGTGACTGGGAGAGGATGTCACTCCTGTGTTTATGTTTTATGTGCATGTAAAATTCTGTCTTACTAGAAGATATGCTAGACGGACTCCCTCTCCCTGACTTTGAAAAAGCAAGCTGTCATGTTTTAGTAAGTGGCCATGTTTAAGAAGCCGAATGGTAAGTAATTGCAAGTGGACTCTCAGAGCTAAGGGAGGCTTCCAGTAAGAACCTGAAACCCTCGATCCTGCAGGATGAGGCAACTTGGAGGAGTATCTGTACCCAGAGGAGTCTCTGATACGTGTACAGTCCAGCTGACTGCAACCTTCTGACTCTACAGACTATCAAGGTAAACTAAGTCCAAGCTCTGGAAGAAAGCTGTGATAATAAATGTGTGTTTAAGTGATTACCATTTGTGGTCATTTGTTACCCAAGCATTAAAAATTAATTTAACTTTATTTTCTTTAAATCATACAAATTATTACAAAAGAATTGTTAAAGACATGAGGAAAAGAAATGGAAAAAGCAATTTTAAAAAATAATACATGTATTTAAAGATGCTCAATGTCACAGGTATTCAAGGAAATACAAATTTTTAAAGTCTAGTATTATTAAGTATTGGTAAGGGTAGGTGGAAAGAGATACTTTGGTGTTAGTATCCATTAAATCTGTCTACTCTGCAGATTGTACTTCTAGGAATCTACTTAAGAAAAAACATGTGCACAGAGAAAATACACTTTTTTGAGGGAGGGGGTAGTACTAGGGATGGAACTGAAGGCCTTGCACTTGCTAGGCAAGCATTTTACCACTTGAGCTGCACTCCAGCCCAGAAAATATACTTTAATTATTCGCTTACTAAGTGACATTTAGAGTGTTTCAGCTCCTCACTATTACAAACAATGCTGAAATAAACAGCCATTCCATCTAATCCTCTGATTTCTAAAACTGCAATTTTATTTAGAAAACATGTTCAGGGAAGGAGAACACTTCCCCAACCCCATATGCAAACCATGCCTGGCTAATTTTGTTTTGAAGGTGGTAAAGATTTTTGCTCCTTAGCAAAAAAGAGGGAGAAAAAGATTTTACTTTCATTCATGCCTTTAACATTATCTTATAAAGCTACCATGCTTATAGACCCAGTAGTTTTCTAATATAGGGTAAAAGGACTCAAAAAAGCCAATATGCCAAGAATAGCAGAAAGAAAAAGGGAAAGCTGGACTCTCTGCTATCCCTAAGCAGTGTTACCAGCTCAACAAAAGCCTTTGGATAATTATTTTATTGCTTAAGCTACCACTACTCAAGTTTTTTGTTTGTTTTGTTATTTTTGAGACAAGGTCTCACTCTGTTGCCCAGGCTTGCCCGGAACTTCTGGGCTAAGGATCCTCCTGTCTCAGCCTCCACGGTAATTGGCACTTACAGAGCAGCTGGGAATACAGGTTTATTCCACTGCACCTGGCTTACTTGGGTTTTCTATTACTTGATACAAAAGATTCTCATTTCACTATGAAATACACTAACAAGGTTATTTTAGGCACTTCATAATTTTTAAAGACACATACATTGTCAAAACCTAATCACACAATTATTTTCTGAATTATACAATTCTGATTTTTTAATACAGAGAAATAATGAAAATGTATACAGTAGGCTCCCTTAGCTTTGTTTTGCTTTCTGTGGTTCCAGTTACCCTCAGTCAACTGTGGTCCAAAAATATTAAATGGGAAATTCTAGAAATAAACAGTTCGTAAGTTTTAAATTAGAGGCTCTGAGTAGCATGTGAAAATCTCATGCCCTCCTGCTCCATCCAGCCCAGGAAGTAAGTCATGCCTTCATCACATGCATGCACACTATGTGTCAGACTGCCTGTCAGCCACTTAGCAGCTGTCTTGTTTAATAGGGCAACCATAGGATGCAATGCCTACATTCAAGTAACTCTTATTTTACTGAATAATGGCCCCAAAGCACAAGAGTAGCAATACTACAATTTTATTACAGTATATTACTAACATTGTTCTACTTTATCATTATTTACTGTTAATCTTTTTGTACCTAGTTTATGAACTAAGCATCACAGATGTAGATGCTGCTATGGTTTGGACGTGGTGTACCCCCAAGTTTCATGTGCTGGAAGCTTGGTCCTCAGTGTGACAGTAGTAAAAGGTGGTGGTCCCTGAAGGTGGTGAGGCCTAGTGGGAGTAATTAGGTCACTGGAGGCATGCCCTTGAGAGGAACAGATGGGAGTCTGCCAGAGAGGGTTGTTCTAAATGAGTAAGCCTGACCCCTGTATCCCCCTCTGACTTGCTGTCTGGCTACCTGGTCTTCTCTGTACACATTCCCACTGCGATGCCATCCACTACGAGATCCTCCAGAACCGAGCAGATGCCCTTGAGCCTACAGAACGTGAGCAAAATAAGCCTCTTTTCTTTTTAAGTACTCACTCTTGATATTTCATTGTGACAACGACGAATATGTACTGTAATTATAAATATAAGGTTCAGTAACATCCATGGTTTCAGGCATCCACTGACCATATCACCCACAGCTAAGAGGGGATTACTTTACATATATATATTCAACTCCTGATTATGTGTCATTAAAATGAGCCATTCACCCTACTAGGCTAAGATTATATCCTAACTCCTGGAATAAATGTTTTTCACCACCGAATTATGCCAAAAGCTGTAATTTTTTTTCACTTTCCTAATCTAATCTTTCAATACTAAATAAATGTTACATTTATTAAAGAACAGTCAAGAATAAAATTATTTTAGTCATGCAATTTTCCTAAAGACTAGAAAACAATTAGAAAGCTCAAAAGCAATGGTCTAATTTGTCTTAGGAAATACTACCTTATTCTATCAATCAAACTAGAGATGAACATGAAGAATATAATAATAATCTGAACAGTGGCACTTACTAATTGCCTGAAGATGCTCAAAATAGAACAATAAAGAATAGTGCCAAAAAACAGGTCCTGTCTGGGGGTTGGTACCAGTGTGAGGGGGAGGATACAAGGAAAGGGTATAGGAGGATGAATATGAAGGAAATATTATGTACTCATGTATGAAAATGGAAAAATGAGACCTGTTGAAACCATTCAGGAATGGGAAGAGGGGGGAATAAAGGAGAATGATGGAGGGGGTGAATTGAAATATGATATATTGTAAGAACTTCCGTAAATGTCACAATGTACCCCAGTACAACAATAATAAAATAATAAAAAACAAGAATAGTGCCAAATATTTGGCTGATCTCCATTTGAAATGTTGCTAACTCTTTGAGCTGGTGAATTGGCTCAACTGGCATAGCACCTGCCTAGCAAGCATGAGGCCCTAAGTTCAAACCCCAATACCACCAAAAAAGAAATGTTGATAACTCTGACTAGAGCATAGCCAACCTATATAGAAAGTTGAGGGGAAAGTAGGGGAGGGCCAAAAAAAAAAAATGTTTTAAAAAGTAAGTTCAATATAAATTCTTACATGAAACTCATTGATAAAGGAGTTATGTAAAAGCAATGACCAGGCAAGACACAGTGGCTCACACCTATAATCTGCTACTCAGTAAAGAGATCAAGAAGATCACAGTTCAAGGTCACCCAGGGCAAAAGTTAGCAATACCCCCATCTACACCAACAAGCCAAGAGAGGTGATGCATGCCTATAATCATAGCTATGTAGAAAGCATAGGTGAGAAGATTGTGTTTCAAAGCCAGACCCAGGCAAAAATGAAAGATCCTATACAAAAAAATAACTAAAAGCAATAAAAGTGCTGGGGGCATAACTCAAGTGGTAGAGCACCTGTCTAGCAAGAACAAGGTCCTGAATGCAAACCCCAATACTGAAGAAAAAAAAGTAGTCACCAAAGTAATTAACAGACTATAATGAACAGTTTATATAGCCAGTCTATAAGAACATACCAGCCATCTAGTATCAATAAGTAATGGCATCAACTGGTATAAGAATATATTCAATAAGGGTTTGGGTTATAGCTTAGTGGTACTGCACTTGCCCAGCACGCACTGGATTCAATTTTCAGTGCCAAAGGAAAAAATAAAGGAAATGTATGTGTGCATACATATATGCACACATAAATATATAAACACATACATATACATGTGCGTACACATATATGGTAACATGACACAGGCACACAAGTCCTCATGATGCTGTAACCACAGCTAACATTTATCAAGAGTTCATTACACACCAGACACTGATTCTACTCAAGCCTCACAATAACCCAGTAAAATATGTAGTTGATTATTTCCATTCTGCGATGATTAAACTGGTAGAGGAAGTTATACAATTTGTCAAAGGTCACACAACTAGTAAATATTAAAGCTAGGATCTGAACTTACACAGTCTGACTCCAGCACCTATTCACATGCTTCACTTTTTTATGTCTCCACCTAACAGAGACATTTAGTAAAAGTTCTGGGTAGTCTATCACATATAAAATTAAGATTTAATCACCATTTCTAAAGTGATTAATACTGACAGCAATAACAATTAAAAATATTTCTATGTTATTCTCTGAGTTGTAAAAATCACAAGGTTCATACAGACTGTATGAAGGGTAGAGCTGACCTCCTCCACAGAGAAAGCTATGGAAATGGTACCATGTAAAAAATAAATCCTCATTCCTTCAAGAAATATTTGTGGAGGGTCTGCAAGGTACCACGCCCTGTACTAGATACAGAGTATTCAGAGATGAACCAAAGGCACATGTGAATTTTTCAGAGTTGAAAGCAAGTCCAAATCTCTCCTTTGTCCTCTTTTCAGCTCTATCAATTCAGCCACCAATTATTGCCAAGACTCTGCTCTATTTTCACCAAAGGCTAATATGACATTTTTTTTTTTTTTTTTTTTTGCGGTGCTGGGGTTTGAACTCAGGGCTTCACCTTGAGCCACTCTGCCAACTCTATTTTTGTGCTGGGTGTTTTTGAGATAGGGTCTCACGAACTATTTGCCCAGGCTAGCTTTGAACTGCAATCCTCCTGATCTCTGCCTCCTGAGTACCTAGGATTATAGGCGTGAGCCACTGGCGCCTGGCTTATGACGGTGATCTTTAAGAGAGAAACAGTGGACAAGGAACAGGTAAAAAATACTTTTAACCCATGATAGTATTTGTACAGTTTATATCCAGGAGTTTCTGAGACATATAGTGTTATAACACCAAAGTGTTATATTACCTAGTTTAATGGCATATCCTCACTAACTGAGCATACATATGGGTAACTTTCAGGACTATGAAATTTCAAAGATGGGACTACAACATGCAAGGCAGTAGTATATAAGAAGCATCAGTATGCAGGACATGAGGCTGCTCAAGATGAAGAAAACAGTTACGCTTTTCTTTTAAATATCTTCAAATAATCTGTATTTACTATGAAGAATGACAAAATAAAGTCAAAATTGCCCATACCATTGTTTGAGTGGTAAATTGAAAGTAATTTCTTGCCAGTGCCTCTGAGCTTCATAATCACCAAACATTGGGGGTTTTCCAGCACCTACAATGAAAAGATGGAAAGAGCAATACCAGTGATTTTTATTTCCTTATCAAAAATTTTCTAGGACTGGGTATGTAGCTCAGTGGTAGAGCACTTGCCTAGGATGTGTGAAGTCCTGTGTTCAATCCTCAGCAACAGGGGGAAAAAAATCTCAATTACAGATTCAATGCAAGAAAGAACATAAAAGTCAGGGAGATGAGGTCTGAATCCTGGCACTAATAGCATACTGAGTGACTATGTGGTAGGCAAATTACTTATCAGCACATTAAAAACAGGATCAAAACAACCTGCCTAGAGGACTACTAGAATAAATGGGATAATGGATACAAAACACCCAGTATGGTGCCTAGCACATAGCATCTATCCAATAAATAGAAGCTATTGTCAACATTGTCTAGTTAACTGTAAGATATCCATGTTCATCTTTATTTCATGAAAAAAACTGTCAGGCCAGATATGGTGGCACACACCTGTAATCCTAGCACTTGGGAGACAGAGGTAGAAAGATCTTGAGTTCCAGGCCAGCCTGGACTACATTGGGAGACCTGCTACAGAAAAAAAAAATTATAATAAACAAAAAAAGAAAGTGTTAATTAGATTGTCCAATAAGTACCATAAAATAATAACAAATATCTGTATTTTGCAAAAGATTTTAACAAACTAAATATAAACAGCTTCAGGTCAAGGACAGAACTAAAAACAGACTACGTATTTACAAAGTCATTAGTCAGGATTTGTTATCAAGTGAGTATATAAAAACTGTCAGTTTATAATTTTTATTTCAAAATTATAAATAAGGGATAATGGCACTTTAATAACTAACACCCTTTGAAATAAATGTTATTATTACCCCCACTTTAAAGCAATAATCCTCCAAACCAGCAGTGCCTTAAGTTATTTTAAGTGACATAAAGGTATTTGCATTTCATAAATAATAAACACTCACTCACTATTTAACTAGCAGATGACTACAAAACTGTGAGAAAGTTCAAAGCGGTCAGCAGTTTTTAAATCAGCAAATAAGATGGAACTCAGGATTCTCCTGCCTCAGCCTCTGATCGCTGGGATTACAGGCAAGCACAATGACAACGGGCTTGAAATTCTAAACCTCTCTCTGTTCATGCTGCTTACTCCTACTCCATACATCTATCAACTCATACACAACCTTCAAGAATCACTTCAAATCCCAAATCCTCCATGAGACTTCCCTTATAAATTAAAAATGTACTAATTAATGAATTATCGACTTCTCATAATACCTATACTTTCAGTATCATGTTTTATTATGCAACTATTATTATTTCCTAATTATTACTGAAATAAAAATTTTAGTTGTTAGAGGCAGAGAAATTTATTTTCCAGAGTTCAAAGACAACATTGCTAGGTATATAGTACATTAAAAACTTGCTTAATTAAACTGGAGAGGGAGAACGACCTACAATAACTTTTTTAAGGGAAAAAAATTCCCTGATGAATTGCATCCTCCTTTTCTTTCTTTCCTTTTTTTTTTTTTTTTTTTTGTGGTAGTACTGGGGTTTGAATTCAGGGCCTCATGCTTGCTAGGTGGGCACTCTACCACTTGAGCCACTCTGCCTTTTTCTGTGTTGTGTATTTTCGAGATAGGGTCTCTTGAACTATTTGCCTGGGCTGGCTTCGAACCACAATTCTAATCTCTGCCTCCAAAGTAGCTAGGATTACAAGCATGAGTCCCAGTGCCCAGCTTGCATGCATTTTCACATGTGTATTTTATAGGGGAGGGGGTGTTTCTATATCAATGACTACAACCATTGAATATAGTTTCTTGAGAGAAGAGTTGATTTTTATTTTTTGTTTGCTTTTGGACCACTGAGATAATAAAAGTCAGAGGGGATTTTACGTAATTTCCTATACCCAAAAAAGTCCAACTATCTAGATTTTGTGAAATCACCATAGATTTGTGATGAATGTGGAAGAATTTATTACTGTTCTATAACAAACAGAAGAATGGGTAATGACTCTCTTTAGGGCAGGGAAACAAGTTTTTACCCAGAGTCTGACCTACTTCAATAAATTCAGCTGACACTGGCTATGAAATTAGTACTTAAGTTTTTAAAACTGCTAAAGTGCCCTTAAAGCAGTCCAGAAGGGCAACTCAACTGTACCTATGGGAGTCCACTTGCGAAGGGCGAAGAGGACTCCTTCCACAGAGTGATTAACTCTGCAAATGCATTTACATGAGATTCAGAATTACAGAAGGAAAACACACTAACATATATTTACAGAGCCTCAATTTTGTCTCATTTTCGGAAAAATGGGCTTAAGCAGAATTTAAATGTTCTTTTTATTAGTTGCTGAATTATTCAGAATTATACTTGAATTTAAAGAAAAAGGGGTGTCTTTGTTAACACTACATAATTTACATTGCCTTTTATACTGAAATTTTAAACATTCTAAGAGCAGAAAATTTGGCTAAAATTTTCCATATAAAACCTCTGTTACTGGGTGCCAGTGGCTCACATCTGTAATCCTAGCTATTTAGAAGGATGAAATTGAGAGCCTAAAAGTATTTGCCAACATTGGCAAATTGTGAGACACCCCCATCTCCAAAATAACCAGAGCAAAATGAACTGGAGGAGTGGCTCAAGTGGTAGAGTGACTGCTTTGCAAGTGTGAAGTCCTGAGTTCAAACCCCAGTACCACCAAAAAAAAAAAAAAAGTACTGCATCAATGTCCCCTACTGAGTGGTCACTAAGCATTTGAGCACATCCAGCAATACACACCAGATGGATATTCAGGACACAAAGAGGGGACAGTTAGACTGAGATGGAATATACAAGAGACTGAGACATATAGGATAGAATAAAAACACATACATCTAATAAGAGTTACACAAGGAAGGGCTGGGTACAGTATAATCCCAGTTGGACCTGAAATCCCAACTACTCAGGAGGAAGAGATAAAGAAACTTAATGTTCAAGGCCAGCCAAGCAAAAATGTTAGCAAGGTACCATCCCAATGAAAATGCTGGGCGTGGTGGGTACATGCCTGCAATCCCACCCATGTGAGAAGCTTATGTAGGTACATCATGGTCCAGGCCAGCCCAGGGAAAAATATAAGATCCTAAATGAAAAATAACTAAAGCAAACAGGGCTGGGGAGTATAGCTCAAGTGGTACAGCACCTGCTTAGCAAGCAGGAGGCCCTAAGTTCAAACCCCATATTGCCAAGGGTGGGGGGGGTGAGAGGGTTGAGAGAAAGGAGAAAGGCTGGAAGTGTGGCTCAAGTGATAGAGCACCTGCTTTGCAAGTGCAAGACTGAGTTCCAACCCCAGTACCACACCGCCCCCCCTCAAAAAAAAAGAGAGAGAGAAAATCATGAAAAAGGTAGAACATTTGACTATCAGCCCTGAGTTCCATCTCCACCACAGGAAAAAAAACATGAAAGAACTGAAATCTTAAAAAAATATTTTAATTCTGGGTAGTGAGGATTGTTGGAACTAAAACATTCTAAGGTCCACTGGCAGAATGGCTCAATTGGTAGATGGCCTGCCTAGCAAGCATGAAGCGCTGAGTTCAAACCCTAGTACTGCAAAAAGAAAAAGTAAATAAATAAATAAAAAACATTCTAAGGTCCCTAGATTGTTCAGGAGGACATAACATTAACTTTAGATTTTGTCGAGGTAAATAGGTATTTGAAGATCTTCAGACTAAGCCCTAACAGAATAAAATAAAGAACAGCTTCCCAAGGAGTAAAGGAGAGAAAGTACAAGTGGGGAGAATCCAGGAGAGAACAAAAGGGCGGAAAAAAGTATAACAAGGAAAATAAATTAAAGGAAACTAGTAAAACTGTATTAATTTTAGAGAAAATAGATGACACAAAAGCATTACTGTAAATAAACAGGGACACCACAGGGATTTCATGAAACAAGGAACAAAGGAAAACATTCTAAAACACTTAGTAATACAGATATAAGATGTACAAGCAGAAATTGACAAAATTATGGAAAGAACCTGTAGCTCAATAACTGGTAGATCAACTGAGCAAAAATGAGTAAGAATACAAAAATTTGCACCAAAATAATAATAATGAGTTAGTGAAAACAAGCAGAATATTGAGCTATAGACTACACATTCTTTTCAAGCACACATAGAATGTTTATGAAAATTAACCACATACAAAACCAAGTCTCAACACATTTCATTTTTTTTTAAATAGAACTGGAGTTTGAACTCAGGGCTTCATGCTTACAAAGCAGGCACTCTACCACTTGAGCTCCAGTCCATTTTGCTCCAGTTATTTTGGAAAAGGGGTTGAGAATTATTTGTCCAAGCTGGCTTCAAACCACTATCCTCCAGATCTCAGCCTCCCAAGTAGCTAGGATAACAGGTATGAGCTACCAGCACCTAGCTGTCTCAACACATTTCAAAGATCAGTACCACACTGAAAGATTCTCTTTCTACCATGCAATTAAACTTAAAATACCAAAAAGATAAATTTTAAGAGCTCAATGGTAGAGTGCCTGCTTAGTATACATAAGGTCCTGGGTTCAATGCCCAGCAAAAGGAAAAAAAAGACAAATTTTAAAGTCTAAATATTTAAAAAATTTTAAACATACCTCTGAATAATTCATGAATCAAAACATAAATTATAATAGAATTTGGAAAATAGGGCTAGGGATGTAGTCCAGTTAGAGCTCTTGCCTAGAGTGTGCAAGACCCTGAATTCAATCCTTAGTACTGAAAAAGTCAAAAAATAGCACTTCTGGGGTGATACCTGAAAGAAAACTTTTATCTTACATTACTGTATTAGAAAAGGAGACTGAAACTTAAGGAACTAAAGAAGTCAACCTAGTGGGTAAGAAAAGAATAAACCTGAACATACCACTGAGAATCGACAATGCTCAAATTCTCTGAAAATACTAACAAAATTCATCAACCTCTTTTAAGACTGATTTTTTTTTAAAAAATGAACCATTAAGTATATAACATGAAAAAATAACTATAACCATTGATACAGCAGAAA